AAATAAGCAGAACCTCAGACTATACTAGTCATCAGTTCTGCCAGCAATATTGTAAACGCTAAACTTGTATTTTAACCAAAGAAACAACGATTAAACTCAATGTTCTATTTAAAGGTAACATTAACACAATAAAGATTAATGTTAGATAGTAAATCAAAATACAGAATAAGTTTAAGTCTATTGTTTTATACAGAGTGACATGGATTTTACTTACAATGTTTTCGCTTCAAAAATCCGCAGCAAAGTGAGCTCCCACTCAACTGGCCGACCCAGCTGAGCGTTCGCTCTCCCCCCACTTAAAATCACTACACAATGTAATTTTCTCTTTGTTGCGACGTCAAACAACTAGATGGCGGTACAATCGCTTGACTTTTTAAATTTAATTAGAAGTTTAGAAGAAACTATTAACAAAGCAGTTTGTTATAATTTGATAATAATTTTAACTTAATTATTTAACAAGTAAAATGATTTTATGAAAGCCTTTTTAATTTAAGGCGATTAAATTAAATAATGTTACATTTCAATATGGCTGACATTGCCTAACAATTCATATTTTTGAACCAATAAACATAACAAGTCTTTTATGATTCAGTAATTCATTAATTAAATAATAACGATTATTCAGGAGTTAATTGATCCGAACTTAATTAATTTTGTGCTTGGCATAATCAGCATTCATAGGATGCCTGCGGCGATACTGCCATCCTGTACAGCGATGCGTGCTCTGCAGCGCTCCAGGGTTTCATCTGTAAATCGAGAATGTTTTTAGGCATGGTACTTCCACAGTAAACCAGGCCATTGGTATGAACAGTTTCATAAACGATCTTTGAATTGTTTGTGCAACTGTTCACTCCACGTGACCCCAGTTTAGCTATAATAATAAAAATATAAACTGTTTTATTTCTTTATTGTAAGTAGTGAATTATTTACTCGAGTTTCTTAGGCTATAAAGCCAAGACATACAAGTTGAATATTCAAGCAGGGGTTGAACCCACGTATTGTAAGGCATCGGGAAATGTGTACAGTTGAGTTTATCCATCCAACTGCAATTTGAGCATTTGAGCTACAAAGTGATTATAATAGTAATGAAAATGAGTTATTCATCTGTTTAGCTTGGTTAGTGGTATTCAACAGCACTATTAATTCCACATAATAGTTGCCTACATAAATCGATTGTTGTTAAAACGTAATTTTGTATAGCGAACTGTTAATTCCACATTGCAACAGTTTCAGGGTAACAAAATAGTGTTGACAAGATATTTTAGTAAACTGCGTGTAACACATCACAATAGTTACAGCGACAAATTATATTGGTAAAAAGTCATTTTAATTAACTGTTCATTCCGCATGACAACAGTTTAAATCAATTGATATTGTAAACGGTGACTTATTTAAGTAAACTGCTCATTCCACATGACAACAGTTTCGTATTTTTTTTTTTTTTTTTAATTGTATTGAACTGCTCATTCCACATGACAACAGTTTCGTATTTTTAATGTGTAGGCGGATAGCGAATACAATTATAGACAACACATGGTAAGGATAGGTTGGAGGCAGGGCGATGCTGCATAAAGCAGAGGCTCTAAAGGATGATTTGACTAGGTCGATGCTGTGATCTAGGCGGTCCTGAGCGCCGCGGACACAGGGGATTAAATAATAATAATTATTTTTTTTTTTTTTTCTTGGATAGGATTTCGCTACCGCTGGCCGTTGGTGGGCTCCAATACCCCAACGTGCATCTTTTCACATATTATTTTCTTTTCTTTTTTTTTTTGGCCGTTGGTGGGCTCCAATACCCCAACGTGCATCTTTTCACTTAATATTTATGATTGACTCATTAACGATCAGTCGCTAAGAGCAATAATATTTTTAGGATTAGTCAAAGGACTAAATGAAGCGAAGAATCAGTATTGCGCCTCGCTAGGTTAACAGATTAAATGGAACTCACCGGGATTTGTCAGATTGTCTCAATCTGAAGACTGTTCGGGCGTAGCAACTTGTGCAGCACCAGGTGTGCGAGAAGTCGCCACTGTAATGCCCGAAGGTCCAGCCGTTTCATCCGGAGGCGACACGGCCATCTGGGTGGTACCGCCAGGTTGTGGAGCGCGCCGAAGTTGGTCATGCGCAACTTTGCGCGCTCGCCCATGGTGACCGACAACCTTCTTCACTAGATAGCGGTCATTTTCGAGTACCCTGTGAACCTCATAAGGTACACTGAATTTGAGGTCGAGAGAAGTTTGATTTCGAGGATTATTTTTTACTAGAACAAAATCTCCCCGTTGGAATTTATGAATTTTAGCACGGCCTTTGTCAAATCTCAGTTTGTCTTTGGCAGACAATTCGGTGACTCGTTTATGTACGTGTCGTTCTAACGCCACGATATCAACGGACTCATTGTCGAGATTTACCAAATTAAGTAGTTCTGCCGGTACGCAGTTTCGGCGCCGGGTAAGAAGAGTTAAAGGAGCCGTACCCGTCGTTCGATGTATAGTGCAGTTAAGAGCAAGCTGAAGACTTTCCAGAGCTGTGTGCCAATCTGGGGTCTCATAGTTTTTTATCATGGTGAGGCCGTTTTTTAGAGTTGCCATGACACGCTCTACTTGCCCATTTGCTCGGCTAGCACCTGGTGCAATAGAATGTATTGTAATACCAAATCTGACGCAATAATCCTTATAGCCACCTAGAAATTCTCGGCCACCATCTACGATAATTTCTTTTGGGGCTCCAAAGAGGTGAACGACTTGTTTCAAAGCAGCTAGGGCACTGTGTTGACTTTTATCATTGGTGTATCTAAGTAAAACATATTTGGTAAATGCATCTATAGTAACCACCACGTACTTTTGCTCTTCGCCAGTACCTAGTTTCCCTGTGATATCCATGTGAATGACCTCAAATGGTACTGTTGGCTTGGGTATTGGATGAAGCTGTACCTGCGTAGCTCCAGAAGTTTGTTTGGATGTTCGACACACAATACAGTTGTCTGTAAAGTCTCTGATGATGGTAGACATTTTATCAAAATAGTATGTTTGTTTAATTTTTTGGAGAGTTTTTTCCCAGCCTGGGTGTTTTAAAGCACTGTGAAATGAGCTTATTAGGCTCCATTGGAAAGCTTTAGGTACCACAATTAATTTTTGTACACCTAAGACTGGATCTTGTCTTTCATATTTAAGAACACTATCTTCAAGCAGGTATCCAGGTACCACGTCTCCGTTATGTAAGGAATTTATAATGGTACGTAATTGACAGTCACGACGCTGTTCGATATTAATCCAATCTAGGTTATTTGACATGACGTTGACAGTCAGAGGATCAGGATTTCTACTTAGAAAATCTGCATGTTGCATACGCTCGCCCTTCCTGTATTGAATATCGAAATCGAAATTTTGAAGGTAGGCCCACCATCTATGTATTCGCGGCAATAGATCTTTTTTATGTTTTGAGGCTTTGATCGCATTACAGTCCGTGATTACTGTAAACTTGCGACCATAAAGAAAGTGCCGAAAGTGTTTAATTGCGCGGACAACAGCTAAAGTTTCTAATTCGTAGGAATGATACCTACTTTCAGTTTCTGTTGTGCGCATGCTAAAATAGGCCACTACGTGCTGCCTTCCATTAATAATCTGTATCAGAATTCCGCCAAAACCGAGGCTACTAGCATCAGTAAATAGTTCAATAGGTTCACCTTCTTGAAATATAGTCAAGACCGGAGTTGATGTTAGGTGATGGATTATTTTTTGACGTGCCTCTTCATGAACATGAGTCCATAGCCATTTAACATTTTGTTTGGTTAAATTGTACAAAGGGACCATAGTTCGCGCGAAATCGGGAATAAACCGACGAAAATATCCGGCTAGGCCGTTAAATTGACGTATTTGTTTTACAGTGGTCGGCACCGGTGCTTTTAATAGAGCTTCAATCTTTTTAGGACTAGGACGGACTTGACCGTTTTCAACTACATTACCGAGATACTCTATTGATTTTTTGAAAAAAATACATTTCTCAATATTTACCGAGAACCCTGAACTACGTAAAGCCATTAAAATTCTTTCTAAATTCGCAAGACCCGAGGAGAAATCACGACATTTACTGATTACGTCATCAATATAAACTTGTGCTACGCTATCGTTATTGGTGGCGTCTGCACTACCAGGATTTAAAAGGGGCCCTAAGGCACGATTGATACATCTTTGATATACTGCAGGACTGTTGCACAAACCGAAAGGCATAGTCAAGTACTCGTAAAAACCGTCTGGCGTTATGAAGGCAGTCTTTTCTATTGAATTGGCGGCCACAGGTATCTGGTGGAACCCGGAAGCCATGTCCAAAGTAGTGTAATAACGACCGCCTGCCAGTTGATCGATTTGATCTGCGATTAATGGGAGAGGGTAGTGATCACGTATAGTGTTAGAGTTTAGTTCGCGGTAGTCGACACACATGCGGTCGTCACCATTTTTCTTTTTTACAAGAATAATTGGACTTGAATATGGTGACTTGCTTTCACGAATAATATTATTTTCAATTAACTCTGTAACTATTGTCTTTACTTTTTCTCGTTCGACTGGACTCAACCTATAGGGCCTGCGTTCAACAAATTTGTCTGGATTTTTCAACCTAATCTCTAATTCACCAGTATTCACGCGAGTTTTGGAAAAACCGTTTGTAAATAAATCATTGTATTTATTAAGTAGGGCAAGAAGCTGATTAACCTCAAAATCATTATCCAAATCATGGTTAATATTATCGAATAAGTTACTTTTCAATTGTATGTGCATTACTCTTGGTTGGGAAAACAAAGTGGCCCTGTTTTGAGTTATGATTACACATAGACCCGTATCGCGTAATAAATTAGCACCTATTAATACATCTGACGTCATTTCATAATCTGGTAAAATGTGAAACATTATTTCAACGTTAATGTCATCAATCTCACAAATTGACGTTAACATATTTGTTGAAACTACAGGGAAAGGACCTATGCCGCGTAGGTAGGTAACTTTCTGTTGTCGACGTCCTGGTAACTTGTTTGCAATAGATTCGCACATGACCGAACATTCGGCACCGCTATCAAAAACTGTATCTATTTTAATACTACCCACGCGTATACGCATAGTATTTAGAACAGATTTGTTCTTAGATATGGAATTAATATTCGAGGAGACTTCCTTTAGGCGACGGTAACATACATCGATTGTATGACCAGTTTTAGAACAAAATGAACAAATTTTATTAGAATTATGGTTAGGTTTAGATGATTCAGTTAGGTTTTTGTCAATTATTTGCGGGTTTGAGCCTGGCATAGTTTTAACACGACAGTTATTGGATGTGTGACCGGATTTTCGGCATATATTGCAATAGGGTCCATTACGATAATCAAGGGAATATTTTGAGCGTTTGCTTGGAGGCGGGTTAGAAACGTGTTGGTTTGGACGTTTAACGCGAATAGATGAAGCTACAGAGATCAATTCCGGCACTGAGATGGCTCTGGCGTTCATTAATTCAATCCTAAGGCGTTCGTCATTAATAGTGCCTATCACCGCTTCTACTGCATCACAATTATCGAGTTTGTCTTTTGTCAATCGTCTCCACAGAATCCATGATTGAGATAAAAATTCGGCAATATCTTTAGACGAATCGTATGTATGTTCGCGAAATCTTAATACATCACGTGAGTAACGGCTTTCAGGCTCGAAAGTAGTAATAATATTCTGTCGTAATTCATCCCAAGTTGAAGTAGTGACGAGCCAATTATCAGCCCAAATTTTAGCACGACCTTTCAGCAAGCTAGTTACTTTCATACGAAGATCGTAGTCACTCAGTGAATAATTATTTTTAGCAGTGGTTATGTGATCACACCACTCACGAACCCCTACGCTTCCGTCCGGGTCATACGCGGGTAGAAAAATATCTGTTATTTTAATCTTTTCACAAGGCTGTTTAAGAAGTTTATCACTCATATTTTGCATCACCGATATCATTTTTAAATAAAATTCAGGTGGTACATCACCTGTAGGCATCAGGCTACTTAGCTTGTCGGAATTTAGGTCACATATTGAAGAAGCGCCGCTTGTATTGGGCGTAGCCGCGCCGCAGTCATTCTCCGTTGTGTCTTGATCGCACTTCCTCTGCAATGACCCACTTCCATCGGGTTCATTCATGTTGATACGCCAAGTTGTAGATGAATGTAGTCAGTATCTGAAATAGTTATTAAACGGCAGTAGTTCGAATCCCGCTTCTGATGTCGAATTTAGGGTAGGTGAATAATTTTAAAAAAAAATAAGCAGAACCTCAGACTATACTAGTCATCAGTTCTGCCAGCAATATTGTAAACGCTAAACTTGTATTTTAACCAAAGAAACAACGATTAAACTCAATGTTCTATTTAAAGGTAACATTAACACAATAAAGATTAATGTTAGATAGTAAATCAAAATACAGAATAAGTTTAAGTCTATTGTTTTATACAGAGTGACATGGATTTTACTTACAATGTTTTCGCTTCAAAAATCCGCAGCAAAGTGAGCTCCCACTCAACTGGCCGACCCAGCTGAGCGTTCGCTCTCCCCCCACTTAAAATCACTACACAATGTAATTTTCTCTTTGTTGCGACGTCAAACAACTAGATGGCGGTACAATCGCTTGACTTTTTAAATTTAATTAGAAGTTTAGAAGAAACTATTAACAAAGCAGTTTGTTATAATTTGATAATAATTTTAACTTAATTATTTAACAAGTAAAATGATTTTATGAAAGCCTTTTTAATTTAAGGCGATTAAATTAAATAATGTTACATTTCAATATGGCTGACATTGCCTAACAATTCATATTTTTGAACCAATAAACATAACAAGTCTTTTATGATTCAGTAATTCATTAATTAAATAATAACGATTATTCAGGAGTTAATTGATCCGAACTTAATTAATTTTGTGCTTGGCATAATCAGCATTCATAGGATGCCTGCGGCGATATAT